GTTTCAAGTCGGCCTGGCTTAGGCAGCGCCAGCGAGGGGGGGCCCAGTGGAGTTAGTGCCTGTACTGCCGCAGCCGCCACTTTCGTCTCTGCACGCATGTCCTTTAACGTGTTCATAACAGTCCACCAGGTAGTTCTAAAGCCGCGAATGTCTTTAGCTCATTCTGCTATTGTTAGTTCCCACATATAATCGCCCAAATCTCGCCAACAGTTCTCAGCAAACAAATTCGCAGGCAAGAGCAAATATCCATGGGATTGTGCCCAGTTTAATAGCTTGCTTAAAGTCTTTTCAGCTACCGATTCCCCTCTCTTAGAGAGGATACTAATCAATAGCTTAATCGCCGCTGCAAATTCTGATTCCATGCTCACGGCTACGTAGGCGTGGGGAAAATTGCAAGTTTTCCTACCTTCGGTCACTGAGACTCGGGTGCGTCCATGCCAGCTCCCCTCCGGCTCTCGCTTCCCGTGGAAAGACTATGGAGCCTTTTGTGCATCAACACCGTTGCGTCTATCTGCACCAGCATCAACGCCTTTACGTCTCTCTGCTGAGTCCCTGGTCGTGCATCAACGCCTTTACATCTATCTGCACCAGCATCAATGCCTTTACATCTCTCTGCCAAGTCCCTGGTCGTGCATCAACGCCTTTACATCTATCTGCACCAGCATCAACGCCTTTACGTCTGTTTGCTGAGACCCTGGTCGTGCATCAACGCCTTCACGTCTATCTGCACCAGCATCAACGTTTATACGTCTCTTTGCTGAGTCCCTGGTCGTGCATCAACGCCTTCACGTCTATCTGCACCAGCATCAACGTTTATACGTCTCTTTGCTGAGTCCCTGTTCGGGCGCCAGTTGTTGAACAGGGTGACCAGATCGCTCGGACCACCTCATAGCTTCTTGCTTGTTTCAGTGTACCAAGGACACGCTGTTTACAAACCCTGGATTGTCCACAGATTCCCATAATACTTTGTGGCCCTGTTGTTCAAGAAACCCCTCTACACAAATGTGTACAGAGAATGGCCAAGCTGTGCCAGTGTCTTCCTGAGTCCTGGAGGTGTGTGATGAGCAGCACTCCTACACGCACAAACATCACCTGTAATGAAGAGCAGCGCTTCCTGCTCACATGCACGCCTCCTGACACATACTTACACTGCTCTCCACCACTAGTACTAGTTTATTCCCATTCCTGGGGAGGGTCACCACCTCAAGATTTTATCCAGGATGCATTCAACCTTGTTACGCTTCTGCCCACTGCTGTTTATCTGACTCACGTTGAGGGCAAGAAACAAAGGCAAGTGAAGTTCTTGCGGAAG